TAAGTAATAATAATAAGTAATAACGTAACTACTACTACCTACCTACCCTACCTACGTAAGTAATTAAATTAATTATACTATACTACTTATTATTCTCTAAGGAGGGAGGTGTGATGGATTTACTATTCAATAATTTTGTATAATACATTTTCAAAGAATTGTACAACTTCAATAATCATTACAGTATATAAAACAATCAATACAAATAACCTTGGGTCATAGAATTACATAGCGCATGAAAGTGCATCAGCATAAAGTTATCTTTTTGGTAAAGGTCCAACAGAATCAACAATCACATGACTGAAGGGTTCTTTAAAAGGTTGGATAGGTTTCAAAGGAGCAACAGGAATATTCTGGTTAGGTTTTCCGACCAAGTGACAGGTATGACAAGTTTGCAAAACTGAGAAACGTCTTGCCTAATTTTTGGCCAAAAGAAATGTCTCATAATTTTGTCACTTGTCTTCTTGATACCTAATTGACCTCCCATGGGAAGTTCATAGGCAACTTTCAATATTTCAGAATGATATGCTTTGGGAACAACGAATTGGTAAATTATAGGCCAGTCCTCTGAAGCTGGCACATCTGGTAGTCTTCATTTCCTCATAAGCACACCATTTTTGGAAAATAACCATTTGGACTTTCTTCAGTTCCTCTTTTGGAAGTACATATTTAAATGGTGAAGACATCTATGGAACCTTTCTTTGCTCGGTGATTAGTTTTAGCAAACAAAACTTCACCAAATGAATCAGATTCCTTACGTCCATCATTGTCACTCATCGAGAAATCCTCAGGAAGATAATCATCCACAATATCCCCTTCGGATCCAAAATATGTCTGAGACAAATCTATAATATTGTCCTCTGAATACGTGTCTTACATTTGTTTTTGGCTTAATTTCTTAGCCTGAGCTCGAGTCACAGCACACGAGGGAAACACATTGGAATTCTCCTCAACTACAACATCATCCTTAGATGAAATGGTGATTGGCTTGTTAACCATTTTAGGTTTGGCAACAACTTTTTCCCCAGCCAAATTGTTTTCCAACAATAATGATACACCCTTAATTGGCAGAGTAGATCTTACCCCAACCACAACTGGTCTCGAAACTAGGTCTGATGCTAATAAAATGTTATGAAGAGGAGCATTAACAAAGCCACCCTCAATACCCTAAGAAATAAGAGACTCACCAGTGGCAGAACTCGAATCTAAAGGCAATGTGCCTTCTAACAATAATGATAGAGTTGCCCCGGTAACACGAAGAATACGAATGGGTATGGGATTGACAGTGTCATTTCTCAAAGCCACAGAACCAACAGACACCAAAGGTTTAAATTCCTCCCTGAATACATCAGCCTTTATATCATTGGTCGAACCAACAACATCGAGTGATCTGGTGAAACTACGTCCATATGTGGACACAAATGCACTGGGTGTTGCCTCCTTTTCTTTTTGCTTTTTCAAACACCAACAATCGGACATAAAATGACCAAGTTTTTTACAAAAAATGGCAGACAAGCCTAGATGGTTTTGATGAAGTTTTATTTTGACTGTCAGAATATTTCGAACTAGAGGAGCTGGATTTTTTAGAAGAATTCTTATCTTTAGTGGACTAACAGATGCAGATTTTTGCTGAGATAGTAGGAATTTCTTTTTATGAAAAGGTTTTTTATGTGTTAAAGTGTAATCATCGGAAAGAGCAGCTGTTTCCTGTACTGTATCAGCTTTCTTTTCGTCCAAGTAAGTTTTGAGGTCGTCACGTGCACA